AAAAAAATTAATCCTGACTCCAGCCCCACCAAACTATAAATTATTTTAAATGGACTACAGGCCCACAGTGGGAATGATAATGCAAAGAGTTTCTACAAGAAAACACGGGAGAACATTTTCATGACCTTGGGACAGAAAGAGAGTCTTAGCTGAGACACGAAAACCAACACTAAAAAATAAAAAGATGGACAAACTGGATTTGATTCCAACTAAGTGCTCCGACTTGTCAGATGACACCACTGAGAAAAGGAAACGGGAAACTTTCAGACTGGGATAAAACCGCTGCCTTCCATATACCCGGGCCCAGGACAAAGAATTACAAGTCGATAAAGCAGAAGCAAGACAGCCCCAGGCCCTCCCTGGTGGCGCAAGGGGCTAAGTCTCAGCCCTCTGAGGCTACCGGCAGCCCCCGCAGCCCGAGTTCCAGCCCCGGCCAGGGAGGGACCCCCAGGGCACTGCAGACCCCTCCTGTCTCCCCGCTGCAGTGTTTCAGTCCATCTGCCTGCTCAGCTCCCCACTCTGTCTCTGGTGAGTCCTCTCACCCCCTGCACCTCTGGCCTGCACCCAGTTCTCCTAGGCAAAAAAAAAGCAAGCCAACCCAATTTTTAAACAAACCCTTAACAAGAGGTCAAGCAAATGGCTGAGCAGAACACCAGAACACCATCACCAGTCATCAGGCAAATCCGAATGACACCACCGTCAGACACCGCGGCCGTCTCCGGCCGTCTCCAGAAGAGCCGAAGCGGGCAGGCCCCACGGGACCCAAGGTCCACCCGGCAGCAAGGGAGGCCGCCGGCCCTCCCAGACGCGGGCCAGGGTGCTCACGCGGCAGGTCAGAACCCCAGGAACGCCCCAAGTCAGCAGGGCACGGGGAAGCTGAGAAGTGGAGCTTCATCGGGAACATACGCGCAGATGCAGAAGGACCAACTCCAGGCCCTGAGACTCTCAGGCTGAGCCGAGCAGGGCCCCCAGGAGGCAGCGTCCACTACACAGAGAAACTCGGGCTCTGACCAGCAGAGGCTGACCGACGCTCGGCTGGGCGCCCTGAGCCCCCAGGCCTGCCCAGGGCCCTCAGACGGAGGCCAGGGACGCTCTGAACAGGTGCGCTCGGCCCCGGAGCCAGCTGAGCCTGGGTCTCACCGCGGCTCCCATTGCCAAGCCACACACCCCAAGCAGTTCGCAGCCTCAGTTCCCCGGCCCCACGCGGGCACACGGAGGTGGTAAATGCCCTCCCCTGCACCTGTCTCGCACGAGCCCACCCCTGCCAAGGCCACCGCAGGTGCCCCGTAAAGGCTCGCTGCTGCACCCGGGCCCAGTGCGGAGCAGATGTCGGCCCCAGGCCCTGAGCCCCCTGACCCGAGCCCTGCAGCTCCCCTCTCCCACGCCCTGATGCCTGTCACCTGGCTGTGCCAGCACCGAGGCCTCGGGGCCCTTGCTCTGCCCAGGTCGGCTCACTGCCTCGCCCACTCAGGGCTGACCCCCATGTCCCCGTGAGGCCTGTGCGGACCACCTCACCTAAGTGACAGTCCTTCCCGCCCCGTCCTGCTGTCCCTTGTCCCCTTAACTTCCCCGAGCGCGTCCCTGTCCTCGCATCGCCTCCCAGTGACTTGCCAGCCTTCGATCCTGCGTCCTCTCCGGTCAGCCCTGCACGGGAGGGCCTTTGCCTGCTGTGCCCACCGCTGCGTGACCCCCACAAGCAGCGGGTCGGGGTCGTGGCACAGAGCGGGCACTTGGCAAACACTTGTAGGTGAGTGAAGGGACGCGTGAACGAGTGGAACTTCAGCCCTGCCCGCTCCGATCCAGCCTCGGAGTCTGGGGTGCAGCGCTCTCCACTGGCTCCCGGCCCGCCACCCCCTCGCCCTCACGAGCCCCTGAAGCATCGGCACAGCCCCGTGGAGACACCACCCAAAGTCGCTCCCGACAGCCGTAATGAGGCCCTAAGCCACACAGCGTGGACAGGTTTCCAGCCCAGGGAGGGGTCCACCCAGGCAGGACAGCCCCAGGCGCCCGGGTGCAGGATGGGGAGGCCCCACAGGACTGGGGCACAGGGGCTTGTGCAGGTTGGGGTGGGGGCTGCCAGTGCCCACCATGGCCTCCTGCTCTGACCAGGGCCCTCTGGAGTACCCTGCCAGGCCCTTCCCCTAAGCCCAGCAAGACTGGGCAGCTGTGCAGAGACCAGTGGGTGCCAGGCCCGACTCAGTGAGCGGCCTCTGGCGGGCAGCCACTGCCCAGCGACCAGCCCACTGCCTGCCCTCCTTCCCTGGCCAGCCCGGCCCCACCCCGGAGCTGCCGGGCCTCTGCAGCTCCAGCCCTCTTCAAGCTGCTCCTGCCGCTGCTGAGAGCTTGACCTCTGGAGCCTGATCCCCTGGGGTTCAAATTCTGACCCCACAAATCACTTGCTGTGCGCCCTGAGGAAGCGATGTCACCTCTCTGTGTGCACCCACAGCGAGAAACCGCAATTAACCCCACGTAGCCATTAACCCACGTAGAGGACAAAGCGGAGCCCAGCACTGCTGGGCGCCAAGGCTGCCATTACTCCAGCTTCGTCTTGCGCCCACCCACCAGCCAGGGCGTCCCCAGGACGCGCTACTTGGCTCAGGCTCGCACCCCGGCTCCTTCAGCCCTGCACCCCAGGCTCCCCAGCGGGCCGGACACACCTGCCAGGAGCTTCACAGGCGGCTGGGAGCCGCCAGCACTGAGGCTGGGGGCGGGGCCTGAGGCGTACAGTGCTGCTGGCCAGGGCTGTGCCCGCCGGGCAGCCTCGAACCACCAACAGTCGGAAAACTGAGGCAGATCAGACGCTCGCTGATAAGTTCACGCAGCTAGAAAGCCCAAGAGGCAGAATGTGACCCCGACGCAGCCTGTGACCGTCCACCCCAGGCTTCACCCCAGCCCTGGATG